CTAATAAGCTTATATGACATTTCGGGTACCAGATTGAATAGTTGATTTCTATATAAAATATCAAATACGTTGTTTCTTCCTTTCGAAAGAACAGGTGGTCCAAAAAAAAGAGAAGCAACTTTGCAGACACTGATCACCTAAACAGTTCCTCTACAACACTTATACTTGTTGAGTTATATAACACTAACAACTAGCAATATGATACTACTCTCACAGAAATAGGAAGGACCTCTCTAACTCACTAACAGAAAGGACAAAAGGATCAAATCCCATATTAAGGGCACACAACAAAATCAGTATGTAATGACGCTAATTATCCCATAATAGACCATGACATTTCTTATCGTCTTCCTTTACCATAAGATGACACTCCTATCCCTTTCCAAAAACATATCTGCCAATTTCTAATATATATAGAAGCATAATCAATGGAAACTAATCTTTTCCTAAAAAGATCTAAAACATCTGAAATCCAGCACCATAACATTTCATTTGTGCCATGGTTAGATGTGGGTCATATTCAAGCTGCAAGGTAGCAATCCAGGATGGAAGCCATAATTGAATGCCTAGGTGATGGATAAAGGCAGCTGGGTAGGATTCCAGTGCCACAATGTGCTAGAGGAAGCTGACAAGGCTCTAAGACAACTGGTGGCATAAGGTGAGAAGCAAAGTAATTTTAAACTTATTATCGTGACTCAGTGCGGGACAAACAGTTCAAAGTAAAGATCTGAATGTGACACCACAGAAATCGGAGTGGCCTTGTTTAGGACAGCAAATATCTACTTTTCCACCTTGTTTCATACCAAGCTCACCAAGTGTGTCCAGATAGGACATGATCTTGTGGATCATTGCCACCAAGTTACAAGTGAGGCCTGGCCAAGTATATGCCACTCAACCTTGATCAGTTGGTTTGCTTCTTCCTCATGCCATCAAGACAAGACTAACAAAGAGGCCACGTGGCTGAACCCTGGGAAGACTTAAGAACAACAGGAAATCTAAAACCTTGTCCTATTTCATCCAGCAACCATGAAGGTAGTCAACCATGGCTTTATTAAAATACAAACTGCATTTCATGAAATGTTTAGAGCAAAGAAGTGAGAACTACTTTACTACCATATTGTCTACTATTTCTATTTAGAAATTCCAAGTCCTGTGCTGGGAGCAAAAGTAACTCAGAAAATATGGAAGCATAAATACAGGTCATGAAATCAAGGTTCATATCAGGGTTTCTTTTCCTTGTACTGATTTTGAAAATTACCATCAGGTTGACCTCATAGCTGGCAATATGCTCTCCAGTATATTCATATCAGATGCTATGGCCTTATGATTGGTCAGTTTAACTATGCAAGGGTAAGTGAACAGATGCCAGCTATAACTTCTTTTACAAAACATTGTATTATACTGTAAATATTTCCAGCATGCATGCTGGTATAAAATAAGGTTAGGTTTAACTTTTGGTATAAAAAACGGATTTTCCCAATGTAAGAGAGCAAAGATGTGAATGATTGCACTTTCCATAACAACAACAACAAGTCAAATCCCAACCAAATTGGGGTAGGCTAGAGCTGAAACCCAACATAAGCCACCGACTAAAACAAAAGGTTTCTAGTTTACTCCTTATTTGCTGCAAGCAAATTACCGGCTAAAACAATTGTATTTAATGCGATTCTTAGTTTATCAACTCAATATAAGATATCATAAAACTAAGAGCATCATTAGTATTATAGTTAGCTGCATTCAACAGCACAGATGGGGATCTACAAGCAGCAAGCATCTAATTGAACTGATGTTAAATTCCCCCAAAATTCTTAGGGCAACCATATGGCAAATTGGCTTAAACACCATTTTTAGGATTTTCCTAACACTCATTGGCTTGAACTGTTGTAGGCATGTATGATGTATCATATATAGCAATTACTTGCCTACTGATGAGCCCAATACTCGAGCATTGCTGCAATGCAGCATGTATAAAAAAATCTTGTCAGTTCAGTCCTGTCTCACCTTGCTAAAGGCCTTTGGAACAAAGATTTTCTCTACTTCACGTGGATAGTAGGCAAAACAATCTTCAACACTTTTATCAAAAAAAACAATCTTCAACACACTCTTAAAATCAGGTCATGTTTAACTGTTTAAGCAACAAAGCAACCCTCCAGCAAGTACAATCATCATGAATGCATACACCAGAAAAAAATCAATCAATCTTAGCAAAAGGGATAGAGTGAGCAAGAGAACCTTGACGGCACTACCATACCGTCGTTGCGATTGGGGAGGTCCTCCTGTGTGGCGCGGGCGTGGGCGTAGGTGAGGAGCAGCGGGATCCAGTGTCCCAGCATGAATTTGGCCCCTCCTCACCTTGAATCTGGCGCCATGGATCCAGCTGGCTGCTCCGGATGAGGAGGCTGTACTAACGTCACAACGGACCTCGTGTGTGTCCCAGGACGACACCACGGAGGATGCGCCGTGCCAGATCTCCACCGTCGGGCTCGGCTCCGGCCTCACAGGAAGGGGCAGCGGTGCCCAGGGCGGCCACTGGGGAGGGATGGTGAGTGGCGGTGCCCGAAGCCGGCGCTTCCAATGGTCGGACGCGTGTCGCGCCAGTCATGCACTACTGGAAACTCGAATACTTCTGTGCGTGTTGATTTTTTCTGTGCGTGTTTCTCAAAACACACAGAAAAATTGTAATTTTTCTGTCGGTTTAAAAAATCCCCACAGAAATATAGGAAAACCGACAGAATAATTGAGTTATTTTTCTGTGCGTGACAATACACACAGAAAAATAGTGAACACCCACAGAGAAATAGAATTATTCTGTGGGTTTTTAACTCACAGAAAAAAGACACAGGCACAGTGGAGGCACAGTGGCGCGGTATAGAATAGAAAAGAGAGTGAAAAAAAAACGAAAACAAAAACACCCTAAAACTAAATCCTCCCGCGGCCGCCACCGACGCTATCCCAAACGCGTCGCGCCGCCGAGGCTGAACTCCGCAGAGCCTCCAAGTCCGCGCTCCCAGCTCCAAGTCCGCCTTCGCCACACAAGACCACCCCATCTCGCACATTCGCCGCTCACCGCTTCGCCGCTAGGCACCACAGCTCCATGGCGCGCTTCTTTGCCTAGGTCCGGCTGTCGCCTAGATCGCCTCCAGCCCACCGACGGTCAGAGCCACCAGCCCGCCGGGCGCGTAGCCCCTGGTCTCCCTCCCGTCCGGCAAGACGTCCCGCGCGACGCACCTCGTCTCTCGGCGCCGCCCTAGATCTGCCTCTTCGTGGGCGGCCCTCTCTGTGGGCCCCTCCCGTGGCGCCGCCAGGTTCACCTCTCCATGGTGGCGCTCTTTGCGACCCCTCCTGTCTTGCTGCCGGCCGCCAATTTAACCCGCCGGCAGACATCGCCCTTCCAACACGACCCCTCCCAAGGCGCTTCCCTGTGCCTGGCCGGGCGAGGCTTGTGCCAGATTTGCCGGCGGACTTTGACCAGACGCGACCTCCCTGCGACAGATCCGCTGGTAAATTGTTGCGCATCATCTGATCTTATTATTTGGTAGTGTTCATATGTGTTCGACAAATGGTTGCCAAATGGTTGCCTTTACCATTCAATACTTTGCGTCTTGTGGATTCCGATGTATCTGTGTCTTTGTGCCAAATATGTTTCATGGTGAAGATATTATGGGTTCGTGTTCCTATAATGTTTGTGCAATCAAATGCTTCTCTCGATAATAGCTTACTAAATGATTGCCCGTAGCTTTTTGTGGCCCATCTTTGATGTTGTTATCCCAGGAATAGGATGCGTGGGGGAATTCAACTAACCCTAGATCATTTTCTCTAGAGATTACTGTAAAAGGTCTCCCTTTGTTGCATGTGTGGCATTTGAGATTAACCTATGTCCCTCACATGATGAGGATGCTCTGCTCTAAAATTTTGTAAATGCTTGTTACTTTGGTTCCTTTGTAATGGATCCGGACCGTGGTTTGGCCTCGAACTATAAAATAAAAACAGAAAACATGTACCTTGGTTATCACGTAGACATCCACATTGCTTCCACTACCCAAGTCATTGAAGATACTGCGCATATTGCTTCCGACACCGGTTGTATTCCCTCTTCCTCTAGAATATATAATATTGATATTTTCATGACATGTACCTATTCAAGTACCTATAGGCAAGATATCGACCATAGTGGCCTCACTAATAGCATGAATTTTTTTTTTACCGAAATTCTAATCTCATGTCCCCGATGTATCGCAAAGAAAGATTTTGGGCTAAACAAGGACTCAAGGTTCTCAGAGGAGGTAGACAAGTGAAGAGTTGTTGAGTACCTGTGAGACTCAAGGTACACTTCTTTCTTCACTAGTTTTATTTGTTGTATGACGATGTTGTTATTCTACATTTTATTTGTGTGCCCACTTGTCCGCGAGTTTGGAATGTCTGTCCTTGCACCAAAAATATTTGAGCTTCCTTTATTGTGATATCTAATATATTAATATTTGAAACAGTAACTAGTTAATATGTCAAGTCGAACATGGATGTATAATGGTTGGCAACGTGGCAAAGCTCCCTCAAATGAATGGATTGATGGAACCAATGAATTCTTGAATAGTGCATTTTCAATTACTGGTGTAGCTGAAAATGATACTATTAAGTGTCCTTGTGCACAATGTCGGAACTACTTTAGGCATATAAGATACACTATAGAGATGCATTTGTGTAGGCATGGTTTTAAGGAAGACTATGAAACTTGGACCTGAGCATGGTGAGGGGCTGATTTCACATGATGGATATGATGGTGTGGGAAATAGAGAGGGCATGATGAAGTTGATCGATGGATCAAATGTTGGTTGAGCTTGTTGGGCACCATCCACCTATATTTGGATGTGAACCATCAAGATATGCCAAAGCTTTCTATAGGATGGTTGCTAGTGCGAGATGAGTTGGTGCATGATAGAACCACACACTCATGCTTGTCTGTCAGTCAGGCTCGCTTGTTTGCTGTGAAGTCACGGTACAACATGTCCGTCGCAGAATATGATGACATACTAGGCATAGTACATGAACTCCTTCCGCCTGACTCCAAGTTACCTAATGACTTCTACCAATCTAGGAAATTATTAGAGGGTCTTGGTATGCAATATATCAAAATTGATGTTTGCTATAACAATTGCATGCTATTCTACAAAGATAACAAGGACAAAGATAAATGTGATTTTTGTGGTGCTAATCGGTATGTGGAAGGGCGAACAAAGGTTGCACGCAAAGTTTTGCGCTATCTTCCAATCACAGATAGGCTGCAAAGGCTATATCTCCATGGGGAGACAGCCAAGTTAATGAGATCATATAGTCCCACAACATGTGGTAAGATGGTGCACCCTTGTGACGGAGAGGCTTGGCAACAATTTAATGTGGACTATCCAGAATTTGCACAGGAAAAAAGAAATGTGCGCCTTGCAGTAGCAACAGATGGTTTCCAACCATTTGATGTGAATGCTGCACCTTACTCATGTTGGCCAGTCTTTGTGACCCCACTGAACCTACCTCCTGGCACACTCTTAAGGTCTGAGTATATTTTCCTCGCACTTGTTGTTCCTGGTCCGGAGCATCCTGGTAGAAAATTGAATGTTTTAATGCAGCCCTTAGTTGACGAATTTTCAAGAACTATGGAAGGGGGTCACAACATGGGATGCTTCGTTGAAGGAGGAGTTTACAATGAGAGGAATCTACCTTTGGTCAGTACATGACTTTATGGCTTATAGGGACTTTTCGGGCTGGAGCACCCATGGTAGGTTGTCATGCCCATATGGATGTGGTTGTCGAGGATTCCTACTCCCTAATGGGCGTAAGGCTTGCTGGTTTGATACCCATAGGCGTTTCTTGCCTGAAGATCATCCATTTAGAAATGAAGCTAATGCTTTTCGCAAGAACACCAAGGTGTTTGATGAGGCACCTAGGTACTTAACAGGGGAGGAAGTGCAAGCCCATGTGAACCAGTTTGCTGGTGATACACAAACCTACGGTAGATTGCACAATTGGACACATGTACTTTGTTTTAGGCAGCTTCCATATTTCCATAAGTTGCTACTTCCACACAATATTGATGTGATGCATAATGAAAAGAATATGGGTGAAGCCATATGGAACACATGTTTTGACATAGCTGAAAAGAGCAAAGATAATGTGAAAGCTAGGCTAGATTTGGCTATTATATGTAATCGTCCTTCCATGCATTTGATGCAAAAGAGCAATGGGCAGTGGGATAGGCCTAGAGGTCCATTCAGCGTTCACAAAGATGTTAAGCCAACCATCCTGCAATGGTTCAAAGAATTGCAGTTCCCTGACTCATATGCATCCAATCTGAAGCATGGTGTGAATCTGCTGCAAAAGAAAATTTTTGGACTAAAAAGTCATGATTATCACATCTTTATGGAAAGGTTGCTCCCTGTAGTGTTTCGTGGGTTTTTGCCAGATAATGTGTGGCGTTGTTTGGCTGAGCTTAGTTTCTTTTATCGGCAATTGTGTGCCAAAGAGCTTAGAAAAGATGTTATCCGCTCTCTGGAGGAGAATGTTGCAGTGCTTCTTTGCAAAATGGAGAAGATATTTCCTCCTGGTTTCTTCAATGTTATGCAACATCTCATCATACATCTGCCTTATGAAGCACGATTAGGTGGTCCTGTCCTAGCACGTTGGTGCTATCCATATGAGAGGTAAATCTAGAAATATTGAAATAACTAGTTTATTTATGCCACTGACAATAAGTTAGCTATCTGTAATACGTTCTCTCACTTCATAGGTGTATCCAAAAACTTAGGAAAAAAGTAAGAAATAAGGCTCGTGTTGAGGCTGGCATTGTTGAGGCATTTCTTGTTGAAGAGGCTGCAAATACACTAAGTCTATATTTTAGACCCCATGCTCCATCTGTTAGAAATAAGGTGCCTCGCTATGATGATTGTGCATCTTCATTTCAAGGTACATGTGACCTTGACATTTTTAAATGCCCGGGTCGTTGCATGAGCCCTAGAGGTGTTCGTGAACTCTCAAACAAGGAGTACAAGGTTGCTTTTCTATACATATTGACAAACATGCCGGAGATGGATGATTTCTTCACGTATGTTGTGCCAAAAACGTCATTACTGTTCTGTTCTAGATTTTTTATTATCTAGGCATAACAAGAATTGTGTTCATGTAGACACTTCGATAATGAACAGTGGAAGAGCCGTATAGCTCCCACAGACCAGCAACGTCGTGATTTAAGGTTAAATGGTTGGAAAAATAGCCGTGGTATACAATCTGGTCCAAATTTTTTTGATTGGTTCAAAGAGCAAGTAATTTTCTCATACACTTCAGCCTTTGTTCTGTTCCGACATTGTGAATTATGATAAAAAACTTATCACATAATTTGTGTTTTTTCAGTGCTTGAGAACAGCTAGCATTCACAATGCTCTGTTCCAAATGTCCTATGGTTACTGCCCTCGAGTTAGGTCCTATGGGTGTTATGCTGTCAATGGCTATAGATTCCGTTCAAAGAAATATGAGAGTGGAAGAGTAGGGCTAACAACTATCAATAGTGGTGTTTGTGTAACTTCTTTTGATGAATCAGACAATGCTCTAGAGTATTATGGAATCATAGAAGATATAATTAAAATTGAGTGGGAAGGCAGCATGAAACTAGAGTTGGTGCTGTTTTATTGCTCCTGGTTTGATCCAACACCCAATGGATTGAGGCGTATTGAAGATCTAGGCTTGGTAGAGATCAATCATACATTAAGATTATCAAATTTTGACCCATTTGTGATGGCTAGTCAGGTTACTCAAGTGTACTATCTGTCATACCCGTGTAAGAACAGAGAGTTGTCTTCATGGTGGGTTGTCTACCATGTTGCTCCACATGGATGTGTGCCTATGAATGAAAGCAGTAGTGAAGCTATGAATATGGAAGGGGTAGTGCAGGATGTCTACCAAGCGGATGGTTTGGATGGCACCTTTGTCATTGATTTGAGTGATGCCTTGGACTCCTTAATTGCAACGGGATCAGATGAGGTTACTGACCCAAAAGACTTGGAAGCAATACAGAAACAAGTTGTTCTAGATGAGGAATATGATGAAGAAGCTATTGAAGAAGAGAAAGAGACGGAAGAGGATGATGAAGCAATGGATGAAGAAGATGAAGAAACTTATGATCCAAATGATTTTTGAATATGCAGTCCAAAATATATGTTTTAGTTATGCTATTTGTTATGCATAAGATCCTATGTAACTGTTTTTGAATATGCAGCCAACAGTCCAGTATTATTAATATATCAGTTTGCATGTGTGCTTCAGTATTACTAAATCTGAATTCATGTTGTTTTCTCTCCAATCCTTTATTAATATAGCAGTTTCCATGTTTGCTGCCCCTCCAATAATTTGTTGTCTGATGCACTATTTGTTTTAAGATGGATCTAACATATTGTATCTACTGCAGATGGTTAGTACACGCAACAAACGTGTGCCTAGTTTTCGTGCAGCCGAAAGGAATGATGGTTCTGAAAGCGCAGGCGGTTCCATGGTCCATTCCATTCGACACACACGCCGTGTAGCCAACAGCAGTGCAGCCCAAACAAATGAAGGTTCTGGAACTGCAGGCGATGACTCACAAAGGACAATAGTTGTTGAAGCTCCCCCAATAGAGCCACCCAAGAAAAGAGGAAGGAAGGCAGGGTCCCGAACAAAATTTAAACAACCTCCACGTGGTGTTAAAGTGGCTCTTAAACCAAGTGGTGACGAGTGAGTGCATTTCTTGCTTGAACAACAGCATGTATACTTCATTTACTTTGTATGACATGCTCCCTCTTGGTTGACTTGTGTGTGGTTCATTTCCAATATAATACTAGCTGCTAGACTGGAAAATCATAGAGAAGTAGCACATTCCTTCTTTTCCCATCAATAATAGCTTAAGCTCCACTAGACTGCAATAATCATGCTTCTTGATTTGTTCTGTCCGATTTAGACCGAACTTCTTAAACATTTAGAAAAAAAGGTCGGTCTAGCAAACCACATCCATTGGTTTGCCAACTCCTTTTGAAATGACGGCATTCATACAAGATTATAGAGTCAATAACATATATGTCATGTGTGGCATAGGATGAATCCGGGTTATCATAGTCCAAGATGGCCATGATACACTAACTTTGCAGTTTTCTAACTTTTCTATTTGATCAGCTATCTGAACTGAGTGTTTTGCTTGGAAAGTAAGCTGCACCAAACTCTACTATTTTAGCAACTACTAGTGACTGTGACTAATTGGTGATTAATTAAGCGATAAGCTACTCATCACACTCAACTATTTTAGCAACCATTAGTGCTTAGATGTAAAACCTGCACCAAAGTCTTATCTCTTACATGTTCATTGTGAACTTCTATGTCCGAATACTTGCATGAATTCTCATCTGTAGTTGCTGTGAACTTCCATATCCTAGCAGCCTTTTGTGCTGACTCTGTTACTTTATTTATAGGCAATTCAGTTATATTTACTACCCACCACCTTACAAATACACTACTCAGCTTGGGGTCATACTTAGAAGAGAATATCCAGGTGTGATTGTGGAGGTGGATGAGAACGGTGATGAATTCAAGCGCCCAGCTCTGGATTGGGCTGATTATTTTCATAAAAATCCTAAGGCTACGGAAATGACAAGGGGAGAAAAAGTGGTTTCCGAATTTTGGGTAAGATACCTATGTTCAATCTGGAATTTCTGAGCAACATCTAAAACTTGAAATTTCTAAAATCTATGCAATGTGAAACCTATGTTCATGGTTTTGTACACATGCAGCGTTTGTTCCAAGTTGCAGTAGGAGATCAACAAGATGCGGACTGTGTTCTAGAAGCCTGTTTAAATAAAAGGGTGAGGAACATGATGTATCAAGTCCGTGTGGATGCTGTCAAGGAGTACTACAGGGAAATAAAACACATAGAAATCAAAGATGCAGTAGCATGCCATATTGACCTCGAGTATGAGCAATACAAGCAAGGAAAGCTCGAGTGGTTGAATGATGAGGTGTGGCTCCTCCTTTGTGCTTATTGGTGCTCAGATGAGTACAAGGTCAAACGTAAAAGGGGGCAAACATCTCGCTCAAGTAATGAAGATATTGCTCAAAACTGAGGAGGATCTAGACCATTCACAGAGACACAACAAGTATTGGTATGCACGTGTATATTCTTTATTCTTTAATGTCTTTTTAGGAACTTAGTAGCCTATTGTATATTCATATCTCATTGGAAAATTTACTATTTTTTAGGAAGCTAACTTTGGACCACAGAAAGCAACTCCTATTAATACATTTGCTGCGATGAAATCTGGCATGAAAAGCCTGGATAGCAATGGTAGATGTGGTTCAATCAGTAGCCACAAAGCACAGAAACGCATGGTATATATGTGACATGTGTGCTGAAAATTTCTTCTTGTACAGTTCTAGGGTGTATACTACTTCGAGTGGTGTTGAGTTTACTTGAAGATATTACTGCCCCCCTAAAGATAAAAAAGGGGGCCATATCTCACCTAATCCTGTGTAGGAATTCTTCTTTTTTGTAGTATATGCCTTCGGGTTCTCAATGAGCCTATTTTGTTCCTTAGGGGTTTTCTTTTAGCTCTTGGGCTTGTCCTGTCGTGAACCTGGTTTGTGCTGTACAGCTTTCAAGATGTACATTTCCTTGCTAAGCTGACATGTGTCTAACTATATGTGGTCCTAGTTAATCTTTGTACTTCCTCTGTTTTTTTAATATATGACATTTGGAAGAAGCTAACTAAACTGCCTTGCTGGTGATGTGCCTTTCCTCTTGGTGAATTGCTGTTTGAAAGGTTGCTGGTGGCTTTCTGGCTTGCTGTAGTCATATATCTGTGCACATAACATTGGATAGGGATAAGCAAAACCAACCATTTCAACAGTAGCCTTAATATCACTTATTCATTATTTTATTGCCTTAATATCAGTCTGGTTAAGACTCTAGAGCGGTACCAGAGGTACATCTATGCTTCAGCTGATGCTGCAGTGCCATCTAGCGATGAGATGCAGGTGTGAGGACTATCCATTTTACTACTATTGCAACATTTATAGGTGATACTACTTTTATATCATGTGTCCCTCTCATAACTACCTGATTTTACTAACACTGTTCAAGTTCTGAAACTATACACATCAGGTTAATGATTTCTTCAAACATGATCAATTGTTACCGACAAATAATACCTTTCATAATAAGAAAACTATTGGTTTATTATTGTTCTATAATTATTATCATTCATTTCTCGTGAAAACGCTAGGGATCATCAACCTGTGCATTTCTATTTCAATATTTCATTTCTGAAGCAATGATTTCCATGAAAATAGATTCAGTATAAAACTAGGCACTAGTGAAACCCTAGCTCTCAACTTATTTAATTTGGATGTACAAGAGCTACTGTTAGTTTGGACACTTTTTGCTCCAATCCTTAGGATGGCACAAATAAGTCAAATGCGCTAGAAAACTGCTGTTGTTTTAATGCATAGAGTCTTCTTGGAGACCAGTGCACTGATGATCTATCAATTGACGAGTCATGAAAATTTCTGTCTATCACTACTGGATTCAGGTTCTTTGCCGAGTGCCTGAGGCACTCGGCAAAGGCTATATTGCACTCGGCAAAGCCTTTGCCGAGTGTGGCACTCGGCAAAGCACACACGGCAAAAAATTGATCGGCAAAGCACTCTTTGCCGAGTGTATTTTATCGGGCACTCGGCAAAGGCTTTGCCGAGTGCCCCGGAAACACTCGGCAAAGAAAAGCTAACCGCCACGGGCCGGTTCCGTTGACGGTCACTTTGCCGAGTGTCAACCCCGCCGGCACTAAGCAAAGATTTTTTTAAATTTTTTAAAACTTTCTTTTACCGAAAGTGCCAACACGTGAGGCACTCGGCAAAGAGCTTCTATTTTTTTTTTGAGAATTTTCTTTGCCGAAAGTGCCAAACCTCCATGCACTCTAAGCAAAGCCTTTTTTTTAAAATTTTTGCCGAGCGCCAACCCGAAGGCACTTTCGGCAAAGAGCTTTTATTTTTTTTTTGAAAATTTTTTTTGTCGAAAGTGCCAAGCCTCCGTGCACTCGGCAAAGATTTTTTATTTTTTTTAAAATTATTTGCCGGCGCCAACCCGGCAGACACACTCGGCAAAGAGCTTTTTTTTTTTGAAATTTTCTTTTGCCGAGTGCCAAGCCTCCGTGCACTCGGCAAAGATTTTTTTTTCAAAAAAAAATTATTTGCCGAAAGGCCAACCCAAGCAGACACTCGGCAAAGAGCTTTTATTTTTTTTTGAATTTGCTTTTGCCGAAAGTGCCACCACCTGTGCACTCGGCAAAGTTGAAATTTTTTTTTTAAATTTCTTTGCCGAGTGTTATAGTCATAGCACTCGGCAAAGTCGGAAAATCTGTTTTCTCGTCGCCCATTTTGCCGCCTTTGCCGAGTGTTTTGACCATTGCGCTCAACAAAGGGTCCTTTGCCGAGTGCAACACTCGGCAAAGTGACCCAAAACGGCAAATAAATTTTTTTTTATGCTCCATCATGACAAATACATTCATACAAACATATATCACATATATATCTTATCCATCACATATATATCTCATCCATCGATATATATCTCATCCATCACATATATATCTCATCCATCCACACATCCATCCGCCCATAACACATCCATCACAATATGTAATAATAAGTGCTCAAGTCCATCCAAATAAGTTTACAAGTTCATCAAAGTCCACAAGTGCATCACAAGTCCATCACCAAGTGAACAACAAATGTAAAAAATACAACATGCACTCATCTCGCCATCGCGATCGTGGTGAAGGCCCAGTGCATCATTCAGAGGTGCATGAGGTGGATTATTCGAACCACCGCCGATGGAGACTGCACAAAGGAGAAAAGATTGCATGTGAGACAAAATTATTTTGATAGCTAATCTAGGACGATAGAGGCCATACAAGCAAAGCACAAGTGAAAGTAAAAACTTTGATACTCACAGGAGTAGCTGCAATGCAGGACGCGGAGGCGGAGGTGGAACCAACAGCCAGTGTGGCGAGACAAGCCCATACGCTGCCCAAGCCCTTGTAGGAAATCCGTAATGTCCATCGCCTCGCGCTACTGGGCTCGCCGCCGCCCGCCCGCTCGCCTCCAATCGGGCCCCAGCCCCG